CTTAATATATATATATATTAGGAAAATTCTTTTTCCGCAAACAATTCTTGATAACACTGTTCAAAACTAAGAAGAAAAAAAAACCACTAACGATGAAAACAAAAATATAGATCTCAATTAAAGCAAAATGTAATTTTTAAATAGGAAAAATTCATAAATTTCATCATATACCGCGTTGTACGAAAATTCGTGTTACATGAAAACATAAAAAGTATAGTAGTCGCGATATCATTCAACGTGTTATAGAAATTTACGTTAAAGAGACTCGTATTATACTCGGAGGAATTATCTACTATATATATAATATATATTACAAAAATAAATTAACGAAATATCTTAATCAGGAAACACAATAAAAAAAACCTGAATATTCTTACAAAGTAAAAAATCAATTATTACCGAAAGAAATTCTTCAAAAGTTTCTAAACTTTCTTTTTTTTTTTATCTCGATCGTTTCCAATAAAATATGAATTCCCCGATGATCTACTAACATTCTATTACTATCTTTCTTTCGTATTATTTTTTTTCTTTTTTAAAATGAAACTTTTCTCCTCCTCCTTTTTTTATTTTTCCTTTTCTCATATTTTCGGTACTTCCGCTTGCTTCGTCTTCTTGGCTCGAGTTGGTAGTCGTCGTCGTCGTCGTTGCATTCGGTGTAGGGGAAGTGGAAGTGGAAGTAGAAGTGGAAGTGGAAATGGGAGAGGTGGGGTGGGGTAGAGGAAGGATGGGTGGGAGGGTGAGAGGGTGGAAGGGGGGATCACAAGCTCGTCGTTGCATTCTCTCGGAGTAGATTCTCTCGACGAGGTAAAGACGTTCGTCAAAGTGTCGTTAAAGCAGAGCTGGAATGCCACTCGAAGTCACTGTCGAAGATGCGAGACAGTATATGCGCTTCGAAGCTTTCTAAGCAAAAGCTTCAGAGGAAAAGCTCAGCGAGCCAAAGCCTCCTGGTGAATCTTTGCTTCATAAGTACCTTACGGGAACCCATTGACGTACCTATCATCTTACATTAATTATTTGATCTTTTTCATTTTACCATTCTGTTGTTGTCTTTTGTTTTTTGTTTTTTTTTTTCAGGGAATGATAGGTTTATTCTGTAGATCAGATCAATCTGATTAATCAGATTCAATCCCGTGGTCCATGGGTCTCATGTAAACCGGTCTGGCCTACCTGATCATACGTTTCTTCTTTTTTAAGTTAAAAATATATCTGACGGTCACACAATTGAAACCTGCTTCACGATTCCCGGTTATTTTTCATGGGAATTTTAAAATACGATTATACGCAATTAAATGCAAACGTAGATGTCAACAGTTTTGTACATGTTATTATAACAAACCGGTCTGGTCCACCTAATCAGACGTTTCTTGTTTTTTTTTTTTTAGGTTAAAAATATATCTGAGGGTCAAAATTGAAACCTGTTTCACGATTCCCAGTTATTTTGCATGGGAATTGTAAAATACGATTATTCGCAATTAAATGCAAACGTAGATGTCAACAATTTTGTATATATAATTATAAATAAGAGAGGTTTGATATAATAAATCTAATTATAATTAGGTTAGAAATTTAAATTTTAACGAATAATATTTATAAATAAAAATGAAATACCCCGTAATAGAAAAAATTTGATAATATATTTATTCTTTTCAATATTATTGTTTAGAAAAATTTTGTTGAGGTTATAACTGGTAAGGATGACGTCACGGAAGCTGCCATATTTTTGTTCTTTCTAAGACTTAACTCTCTTACATTCGAAATTCGAACACCAGATGTCAGCCATGTTGCATTTAATTGCGAATTGTTTGTTTATTTTCCAACCTGATAATCCTTTAATCATCGATTTTCAATCGACGCCAATATGCTTACCGCAAAGGAAAAAGGTTGAGTACCTATGGTATAAATATATTTTATTATCTTGACTGTTTCACAAACCAAATTTCGGTTAAATTAATAATATATATGAACGTTTTAATAATTGAATAAGTAAATTTGTTCGCGTTAAAATAACGCGCGCGCATGCTCCGCCAGATAATAATATTAATAAATAATATAAAAGATAACATTTTTATATATTTCTCATGGGAAGAGCGAGCGAGAGAGAGAGAGAGAGAGAGAGAGAAATGATAGGAATTAAATCGGAAACAAAAAAAATTTATCAAACGGTAGAGAATTTTTTGTACCGACCGTGTTACGTCGATAAAGAAGAAACAAAAGAATAGAAAAAAATTGAACTTACTTTGATTTCTATAGGGTGAGTCGAAAGTATTCCTCTACTTCATTTTTAAATATCAATTATTTCTCATTAAAAGCTTTTCATAGGTTTGCAATTAGGGTCGCGTAGTTACATCGAAATCTTATCGTTAGAACAAAATTAGCTCAATAAATTTAGAAAAACAAAAAATAAAATATAATTGATCTTACAAATTTTGACCTTAACTGTAAGAATAACAGAAAGAAAGAAAGATAAAGAGAGAGAGAGAGAAAAAGAAGAAAAAGGAATGCAATTTTTATCTTCAACTACAAAGCTTATTATTTGCATTCGCAATTGTTGCGTGTGCACGTACGGGGGAAGAAGAATCGCAAAGCGAATATTAATTTGTCTGACCCCCCCCCCCTCCAGTCCTCCCCCATCCTTCCCCTCCCCCCTCCTAGAACGAGGAAATTATTCGTTGGGTTCTTGCACTTCGTGCCGTCACGTTCCGAGCGATAACGAACCATCGATATAATTATAATTAATCTCTCGAAATATTACTTTTCTTTCTCCATGGTAATTTCCTATCGTTTCCGAGGTATCCTATTTTTTTCCTTTTTTTTACCTTGTGTTCGTTCTCGGGGGGGGGGAAAAAAAAACAATAACAATCAAAAGAAAATTATTTTCAATGAAAATTAAAACGAATAGAAATCATTTAAACACTTTTTTGTTAAGGGCTTACATGGGTTTACACCGGAAAAAATAGCATACTTTCAAGAATTTTTTTTCTATATAAAAAATAGAATTCTTATTCAAACTTTGTCTAGTATTTAAGATACATATTTAAAGAAGATTTTCTGAATTTTTGCTTGAAAAATATTTTCAACTCAGCCATTGCGACGTCATTTCCGGTGACCCCACCGAAAAAAAGTGTTTTCGCGTTGACAGCAGAACTTATAAACGGTGGGGGTTTTTCTGTTGAAAAAATAGGGTCTTTTAGTGAATACTTAAAACTAGAAACTGGACGAAGGAAAAAGAAAAAAATTAAAATTTGGATTTTTGGCAACGTTTTAAGCAAGAACATTCAAATTTCGCTACAATTTTCACCACATTTTGGTTTCTTAAAATTCGATTTTATGAAAAAAACGAAAATCCTTCGTCCAAGTCCTTGTCAATAGTATCACGAAGACGTTTAGCAAATTTCATGAAAATCGGTTAAATAGTTATCGAGAAATCTTGACAACCGACTTTAGAAAAAGCGTTTTGAGAAAAACGCGTTTAAAGATTTGAGTGCTTCTCAAGGCTCTATCTTTAAAATTACTACTCCTATCGACTTCAAAATTCAATACAATATTCTAGATGAGTTGTAGAATTGAAAAAAAAAAAAAAAAAAAAAAAAAAAATTTTTTTGAAAGTCCCAAACCCATGTAACCCCTTAATAACAACACAACACGAAAAATGAAAAATAATAAATATAAAACAAAAAGATTAAACACACACACACACACACAATTGTGGGATAAATTATTATACGTCAATGTAAGGTCATTTAGTGTAACAGCAACTGATCGGTATCATAAAATGGGGGATATTAATAAAGGTTTATGTAAGTTCTACGCCAATGTAATGACACGTAGGCCAAGTCTTGACGTTAAGAGGTACGAAGGTACGATAACTATGAAGAAGGAATATGCTAATGCAAAATAACCGTCGTCGCTTTGTCGCTTCGTCGGCGATCATTCGAAAACGCGAGGATAATTCATAGGCGTGAAAGTGCATTGGTGCATTGCCATAGGCGTATTCACTAACCTATTCTTCTCTTTCTCCCTTTTCCTGCCACTAGCCAAGAGTTCCAACTAATAAATTTACTTTCGCGAAAATGTTTCCGACCAACTAAGCAAACCTTCTTCTCGCATATGCCCGCATAAATCTTCGAAACTCTTGTTTCCGTAAAGACAATGATCGATTGATCCTATTGGATGCTTAATTTCCTTTTTTTTCCCTTTTTTTTTTTTGCCAACAAGAATCAATATTGATTTTAAAATAATAACGGTAGATTATATTTTATTCAAAGTAGAATACTTCGAAAGCTACCATATTTTCAACATTTTTCGAATAACACATGAATTCCATACCAGGAAAATTGAGATTCTTTCAAAGCTATACAATTTTTCAACAACTTTTTGATATCTTCGAAAGATTTGAAATGCTATTCGGAAAGGTCGTGTTGCATTAAACGAATATATAGTAAGTTGATGGAGCAACGTTTAGTGCAGAAGTTTAGACCATTTTCGAAAAGAAAATGTCATTTCAATAATAAACGTACACAAAATCAAATTTGAGCAGCTGCAATTTGAATTCGATTTCAGTATTTCAATATTTAAAAACATATATATGATACGAATGCAAGTTTCCAAAAAATGTTCACGTTTATTTATATGAGGTTTGAATTTTTGCGAATACAATAAATAAAACGACATTTTGTTGTAAATGGTAATTTTATTCGTGTAAATGTAAACACAACAAAGTATTGTCAAAATAATATTACAATTATTTATTTCAGTTTACATTCAATGCAACTTTCGGACATGGATATTCTTTGCCGATTTTGTCGAATTTGGAGTGTACTTCGTGCATTTTAGATACAGTTCCGCTTTTAAACTTGTATCAGTTAGTATACCTCTATGTTTGCTTTTAATATTGTTCATTGATGAGAAAAATTGTTCACAATTATTGTATGCGTATCCAGATAAGGTCGAAATTTCGAGAACTAATATCCTGGCATTTGAATTATTATAACATATTGAATAATTAATAGGAGCTCGTATGCTGAAACGGTTATAGTATTGCGAATATTGTAGTGCTAGCAGCGTTATCTATGCATACATATTTTTTTCTTTTAATTTACTTTACCGACGCATTATTGATTTTTTCATTTTAGGAAAACTATCGGTTCTGTGAGGGACACAACCGATTTTTATTAAAAATTTAAATGCCGCATTTTGTTCAGCAAAGAGCCAAATACGAGTTTCCGATCCCTGGTCTAATGAATAGGACAGGTGGGATAAGACATCTCATTGAAGTTTCTCCAAGATTTTCTTTATTGGTTTTGCAACACGCGATCTAACATTGTCATGGAGAAAAATCATTTGGTCATGTTTTTGACGTAATTCGAGCGTTCTTTTTTCATCGATCGACTCAAATTAAATAATTGTAATCGGTAACGCTAAACATTGATGACTTGATTGATTGTTCTACCGACAATACCTCCAATTCACCATATTCAAACTTTTTCGACTAACCAGGGTACTCTTTGTCATTGACGTCAAAATCATTCTCTTTAAATCGTCCGAACTTATCTTTACCAGTTGTTCCAGATAGAACATGTTCCCCATAAACCTCCACTAGCAAACGATGAATTTCACCGGCAGATTTATTCGAATAAAAGCAGTTAAGTAATGCTTCCCGCAAATGTTCTTTTTTTTTCCTACGAAACGGGACATTTTCAATGGAATAAAAAGTTGCATTCTTTTCATTTCGATTTAATGTACCACACTGATTATTACAGCTTATTAACAGTACTTTCGTATACACCAACGGTCACTTTCGGCCATTTTAAAATAGTATAACTACTGACCTCTATTAGTAATCAGCGCGAATTAATTTAACCACCTAATATATCTCAACGATGCTGACATATAGAACAGGGGTGCTCAACTTTATTCTTTAATGAGCCTCATACGATTGTATCTTACATCGAGTAGGCCATAAACTGGACTCTCTATAATTACAAAATACAACATTAAAACAAATCAACAGGTATGGAACATTAGTACCTTATTCAAACTTGATTATTTAATCATAGCTATATTTAAACGTTAATTAAACATTTACGTGATCTTTTTTATTGACACAAATTTATAATCATTGTATTGAGTTTACATTTTAAGCTACATTAGGTTTATAGGAACGATCAATCTTCATGGCAAACGGGGTTGTCGTAGGGTTGATGATTCGGGCTTCAATTGTGACCTTCATCCAATTTTTGCGTCTAAAAAAAAAAAAAAAGATAAATAGGAGGTAAATTCATGATTGTGCGTTTCGGGGTTGCAATTAATGGTTGATTGTTTAATTGTATATAATTAATTGAGTATAGCTAATATAAAGACAATTTTAATCGCGGTGAAATGAACATTTTTTTAATTCCAAATATAGTCGACGATGTTTTTCAGGAAAAATGTTTAACTCATTCTGCGCGTGTGTACGTGTGTGTATATATCGACGACATTTTATTTTATAATCGATTTTATAATCGAAGAGAAATAAAACGTATGCATTGGCGTTAAATGTTCCCCTGTTTAAATGGAACGTTCGGAAATATGCATACACGTGTACATACACAGATATATTATGTGCATTTATATATATATATATAGTTACTATACTATACTATATATAACGTTGCACGTTTCTGCGGCAACTCGTGCATAGAGAACGCTGAATCCTTTCATATCGAATTTCCCAAATTATGAACCTATTACACGAAAGGCAAAATCATTTTCAATGCGACTAAAAGACCTGTCTTTTACTCTGTGCATTGGGAATAATAATAATAGTAGTAATAATAATAATAATTCGATCGCTTTTCCATTTTATTTCGTTTTATCCTGTAACATATCTTTACATCTGAGTTTATATTCAACACTTATTAGTCACTTGGATTAGTTACTTATAACATTAATAATTAAATGACCGCATATTATTGGTCGTTTCAAGAACGACAATTTTTCTCGTTTGAAAATAACAAAATAAATACGTATGGAAACATTTTAAATCTTCATATATTTATTAATATATTATAAGAGTAGTTTTTTTTTTAAAATAAGTTTAATAATTTATCGCATGGAATAATATTTTTCAAAGTAAATTTCTTCATGCAAAGATATGGTAGAAAAGTTATCGAAAAAATAGATGATAAAAATGAAAAATCACGCGAAGGATCGTTCAAGTGTCAATTAATTCTTAAAAAATAAAAAAAATAAATTTGCTCATGTATTAAATATTTGATTATTATTGTATAGAATAATTTGTATATATATATGCACATTTATTTACATATAT